AATAATATAAAGCTTTTATTTTTCCAAAATATTGTATTTTCAGCTAATTCATACTATCTGGGAAGAGGTATTGGATGCACCTTTTTAAATTGCTGATCAAAAAAAAAAAATTATAAACTATAAATCAACATTCTATTGACCACCTGTTATTAGCAACACATGCCTCTATTCTCCTCATCATGTTTTCAATTAATTGTGATAAATGGTTTGACAATTCCTCTTGCAAAGAAAGCTACGATTCTCAGGACAAATTTCAATTTTCTTCCAACTCATCCAAAAGATCCTCAATGGGATTGAGGTTGGGAAATTGGGATGGCCAATCAGGTAACGTCATATCATATTTTTACATTGTTTGCTGTGTTCATAATCTTGAAATTTGTGATGAAACTGTGTTGTGACCAATGACACCAAACTATTTTTCAATTTCAATATAATCCACTTTAAATAGAGGTCTTGAGACCTTTCCAGGAAAACAGCTCTACATCATTATTCCATTATAAACTATGTTTAATAGAAGGGCTAATATTCTCAATATTGTAATGTTCATTATTTCTCTTCCAAATTCAAGCTGGTCTGCCACTTTAAAGCGAAATTCATTACTCCAGATAAGATTTTTCCATTGCCTCACACAGTCCAATTTCTTCTGTCTAAAGCATCACATCAGTCAATTTTCCCTTTGCTGCTTGATGATAAGGAATTTATTGCAGCAACTCTAGAAAAAATTCCAAATTTTTTTGAATTGCTTTAAGCACCACTAACCTGAACAAAATTTCATTTGCAGGATTACAATTTTTTTTTTGCAACTTCTTTCAACATTTTAATTATATGCGTAATTTGCCAATTTCTTGATGTTGATTATCCATGCAAAATCCATCTTCTTTATGAACTGATCTTTCCAAAATTGCATTTCGAATTAGCTAACTGGCTTTACTAGATCCCTAGCTAGTCGATTCGCTCAGAGACCATATTAATTTCCAGTCTCTTCCCGACCGCTTTGAGAATGGCTCACTCAGGGCCATCTCTAATCTCCTCCACCACCTTAAATATGTTATCGAATCGAGACGGTACAGATTTGTGAACCAACATCTTTAAGAAAGTTTTATCTTCTGAAATTGGTTCATGGTAGGGTTTTCATCTGATTTGTTTTGTTGAATTTGGACAAATCAGATTCACGTTCATTAGCGGAGGGAGTTTTGAATTCGGATGCAATTTTTTTAACCCTTTTGGAGATAGCAGGTCTATTTATGTGTTTTTTTTGTAGTAATTTATTAGACTACTGTCAACGCATCATTTGGTCATGAAATAGTATATTTTATTGCTTGTCCAAGTTTAAATCACTAATTCTATATTTTATTTTCAAAAATAGGCATGTTTTAATTATTAATATTAATATTAAAATCTTATGACAGGGATATATATATATATATTGGAGTTATTTGCATGCGGAGCATGCAAATAATGAAAAAATCAGAATGTTTGTACTAAAATTAGTGAGAGCCTTTCCTGAAATTCCTTTAAGCTTGCCAGTATTATTATTACTAATACTATTGTTATTATTATTATTATTATTATATCTCCTAATTCGCCACCTTTAATGGTTAATTATTATTAGGGTTTCTATTTGAATAAGGTTTATTTGAATTATTTGTTTTATTCGTTACGAATTTGAGTATTCGAATTATATTGAAAGTTTATTCGAATTAAGATCCATCATTATAGTTATGTAAAAGTAAGATAGAGAGCTAGAGTCTACTGGCAATTCATCATTAGTTAGTTATAATACGATAAGAAAAAACTGTATGATTAAGTAATAAAGAGATTCCAATAAAGAAAAAGGGCAATTTAAATATTTAACCATCGTTATTTTATGTTCTCAAAAAGATTGTTTTATACTCTATTTAATTAAAAGAATTTGTGTGTATTATTGCTTTCTTTATTATTATCTTTTTATACTACTACGAGTATTAATGCATGTTTTTTCTTTGTCATTCTAAGTAATGCATGCAGATGGACTCATCTCAACTAAGTGACTAAAATTCCAGACGTAACATGAATGTTAAGAAAAATTTTTTTTATCACCTTAACCGACAGCTCATATCATTACTTTAAATGCAATTCTCTTATAAATTTGTTGAAATGATGTTTAATCATATGCATATATTTCAAAACCTAAAAAGATTTGTTAAAACATGGAATCTTGGATTGTTTAAAAATGATTCAAATGCAAGCATGTTATACAGCTTATTATTGTTTTACTTCTATAATTATTCAGTGGTTGTGATTTTATAAAAAAATAATATTAAATTTTGAGTTGGTTCGAGCTTTATTTTTATCTATTTCAATCCAATATTCGTCATTGGGAGACCTTTCTTTTATATTCCATCCAACTGGATTATAACCACCAACTAATTCTCTTGTATTTTTGAGTTACATGATGGCTACAATTTGTTCAATATCACATACATGTATTATAATATTTATCCTTAAATACAAATCTAGAGAATCAATTTGGTACAATGCCTTTTCATTATATAGATCATTTTTGAACTTGAAATTAGAGATTTCATTTGCAAATTTAATAATTTTCTGTTCTTATTTTTGATCTTGGACCTGTCTGTTTGGTAATTTTCACCTAATTCAAGGATCATTACCACTAATCAAAGGATAAACAGAAGATTTAAATTTTTAATTAATAAATGGCCATGACTGTGTACCAAAGGGTTAACATTGGGAAAGTAAGGTTAATAATCCTTCTGCTGATCCCCAAATAAGGTGATGATTTTGCATTTTTTAATATATTTCAGATCCTTTACTAGTGACCCAGCTGTGGCAGTAACCTATCTATATAGTTTTTGAGATATATCAAATTTTAATAGTAATAGGGTTTAAAAACACTTGCTGTAAATGATTGGGCTGGTAGCTACCATTGGTGTAAATAGCTTTTGGTAGCTACCATTTGCTGTAAATAACTATGGCTGCTGCAAATAGATACAGTTGCCGCAAATAGAGTTGCTGCAAATAGTTTTCAAGATTAATATAATTATGTCATTTAGTATTATTATTAGTCATATTTATTTGTAGCAACCATAAATATTTTATAATGGTAACTACCTATAGTAGTTACCATTACTGCAAATAACCAATCATGACAAGTGTTTTTAGTAGGTTTAATGTTCCATGATCTACATATTGAGCCATGAACTTACACATTCATCACCATTATTATTATAATATAAATATAATTTGTTGACTGGTCAAGTTTAACATTTTTTTTCTGATTAATTTGATAATTAGAAAATCTGCTCAATTAGTATTATTACTACTATTCATTCACCTTGACCATCTTGATCATTGTGGTTGAAAAGAGGATCTAAATTTATATATTATTTTATTATTACTATTCAGATTTGGAGATAAGTTTGCACACTCCCATTTTTTCATCCTCTTTCCATCCTTATAAATTAATTGATTATTTTTTTACAAGATAATATAAATTAAATATTAATAATAAAATCATATAATTATAGATTTTATGTAAATGAAAATAAAATAATGTATATAATAATAAAATTAATCTTTTATCTTAAATTTTGAGAAATGTTGTTGTTAGCTGGATCAGCCGTTGTTAAAGTTTCTACACTTAAAATAGAATGTGCAGAATTATCCAAATTTTTCCCACAATCAGAAACCAAGTGCCATTCTCTTGCATCTTCATATCCTACTCCAAAATCATCCTCTAGAACTTCCGGATGTTCTTGAGCATATCTGTTAAAAACCCTATGTAAACTTTCAATCATTGGATCTCTATACAATGTAATAGCTCCATGTTCTCTATTAATTCTTTCTGTCACTTTGGTTAATTTTGCTTGATTTTTAGGGTGTTTCAAACAATTTTCATTATCTTCCTGATAATATTGTTTTTGTAACCAAAGTTTTTGTTGAGTACGTGACATGATATTTGATGGTGGTGGTGGTGAATATTTGAATTGATTTTGTTGTTGTTGTTGTTGTTGTTGTTGTTGTTGTTGTAATTGTTGCAGTAATTGATATTCATCAAGAAGAAGAGGCGGTTCTGATTCACTTGTAAAAGAATCATTTTTGAATGTTTTCATATTTTCTGATGTAGGTTCTGTGATGGTGGCAGTGATAGATGATGGTGTTGTCATTGAGAATGTTGATGGTAATGATGAAAAGCTGGACTGATTTTTTAAATTAATATGTTTATCCATATTATTGTTGTTGTTGTTGTTTGAATTTTTTAATATCGCTACTGTCGGTACTGAAGAAGAAGTGTTATTATTATTATTATTATTATTATCAACTTTATTTAATAAAGATGGCTTGTTGTTATTATTATCATCTCTATTATTATCATTATCATCTACATCATCATTATCAATATCTTTTTTATCATTATCATCTTCTATTTTACCATTATCATCTTTATTAGCAACAATTTTTTTACCATCGGCTTTAGTATCATCATTATCTTCGTTGCTACTATTAACATTATTGGATATTGTTTTATTATCATTGTTTATTAGTTTATTGGGAATATTATCAGAAAGAACACCATCGGAAGTATTTTTTTCAATTGTAGTTGTTTGTGTGGTGGCAATTGGTGTTGTAGTGGTTGGTGTAGTTGTAACTTCTTCAAAAGATTCTGATGCTTTATCTATTTTATCTAACATGATGATAAATTGATTACTCTTTTTTTTTATTATAATTTTAATGAGGAAATTTGTTTGTGTATGTTGTGTGTGCAATTCAACATACGTGAAATTCAAATTAACCAATCAGAATTTCATATCCAAACGCCCAAAATTTTGATTATATATATAAATTTCGATTTCACGTAGTATTAGTATTAGTATATATAAATTTATTTTTCACCAAGGATAGTTACACAAAATCTGGCATAGAATTTATTTATTATTATTTATTTATTTATTTACCAAACATTTGTTAAATAAATGAATTTTAGGTTGTAATAAATTAATTTATTTTGTAACTTCATGTATGGCTTCAGCTAAATATTTAACATTTTTTGAAGAAATTCCAGCAATGGAAATACGTCCATCTTTGGTTAAATATACATGAAAATCAGCAGTAAGTTTTTCAACCTAAAAATATTAATAAATTTATCATTTAATAATTTAATTTTTAAAGAAAATAAATATTTTATTTATTTATTTATTTATTTATTTATTTATAACAAACCTGCTCAGGTTTTAATCCAGTGTAACAAAACATTCCAATTTGATCAGTGATATGATTCCAAGAAATCTTTGATTGAAAATCATTAACTAAATGATGCTTGAGTTTATCACGCATAGTAATAATTCGATTTGCCATAAGTTTTACTTCTTCTAACCTTAAAAATATGTATAAGGTATATATATATTCATTTATAATATCATTAATTAATCATTGATTATTTATTGTTCTTCAACTTACCATTCTTTATTTAGTTCAGGATCGTTCAGTACATAACTTGCAATTCTTGCACCATGTATTGGTGGATTAGAATACATGGCTCTAATTAGTATTTTAAGTTGTGAATCAATTGCAGCCTTTTCTTTTGAACTTTCAGAAATAATTGAAAATGCGCCAGCACGTTCTCCATAAAGCCCCATATTTTTAGCAAATGATTGTGCTAAAGCTACCCGATGATCATCAGTTATAAATTTACGAATGGCATAAGCATCTTTATCAGTGTCTCCTGATGCAAAACCTTGATAGGCCATGTCAAAAAATGGAAAATGTTCACGTTGCTATACATACATACATACTTATAATTTAAACAAATGGTTTGCTATATAAATAAAATCAAATTTTATATATATATATATATAGTTTAAATACTTTTATAATTTCAGAAAGTTCATCCCATTGTTGTTGGGTTGGATCTACTCCTGTTGGATTATGTGCACAGGCATGTAACAAAAAGATTGAGTTTTTTGGTGCATTCTAATCATACATGTTATTATTATTAATAGTAATAATTAAATAATCAACAAAAAACAATAAAGAAACACATTATTATTATTTGATTAATTAATTAATTAATTAATACCTGAACATCCTCTAGCAATCCATTAAAATCCAATCCATTGGTTGATTTATCATAATATCTGTATGAATCTATTTCTAAACCAGAATCTTTAAAAATAGCATTATGATTGCCCCATGTTGGTTTAGGTAAATAGATTTTTTTAGCATGTGGATAATATCTAGATAAAAACACTCCTCCAATTCTAAGAGCTCCTGTTCCTGAAATCGATTGAGTGATTGAAATCTATAAAGGAAATGCGTTTCAAGTTAATTATATTTTTAAAAAAAATCCCAATTAGCAAAATTCATCAGCTTACTTACTAATCCATCTTTTAAAGGTTTGGAATCTTTACTGTAAGCCAAAAGAGCTGCACCTTGAGTAAAGCTAGAAAGACCAGTAATTGGAAGATATTCCTTATCAAGTCGATCTTCAAGTATTTTTTTCTCTGCCTTTAAATAACAAATAATAAATAAAAAAATTTTTTTTTGACATAATAATTCATCAATGGAGATTAAATATTTTAATTTAATTGAACCTTTCTGACAGAATTCAAAACATATGGTTTCCCATCATCATCTCTATAGGCACCAACTCCCAAATTCATTTTTTGGGGATTGGTATCTTTTTTATAAGCCTCTGTAATTCCTAAAATCGCATCAGGTGGGCCTTTTTTACACAATTGATTTTTTAATAAAATGATAATAGTCAATAAATATATATATATTATGTATCAAAATTTTAATAAACAATTTTATAAACCAAATTTAACCTTGAGGAATATGAGCCCAACTAGTAATAAAAGCACGATGCGTTATAGACGACTTTATTATATTGTTGCAACCATTAAATAAAAAAAGACCACATGAAAATTTGTTAGAAAACATTTTTTTTTTTTAAAAAAAAAAATCTCAATTCGAAAAAAAATTTTTTCTAAAAAATAACAAACATGTAAGTAGTATGCATCATTAAAACTAGATCAACCAATTAAATTCACATGAGTTCTATTTTTTGGTTTTATTAAATAATCGAATAAACGTTTAATATAAATAGTCATTGTTTACTAAGCAAATTGTGCATTAATAAGAAAATGCTCATTGAAAATGATTTGTATAGCACTCTAAAATATCACGTCGGACTGATTGTTATTGATAATTTTATGTAGATGATGATGTTTAAAAAGACAAATTAAAATTTTTTAGAAAAAGTTGCACTTGGAGCTATTTTAAAATACCATGTTTTAACACATCTTGGGAACTTGGGAAATGTCGTCACATTTGTTCTCATAATTATTTGTCGAATATTCATAGAGAATTAATACAAAACGTAAAAATAACAAAAAAAATTTTCACCCACAATTTGCATAATATTTTAAAGAAATCAAAAAAAAAATATAGGAATTTCCTTCATTTATTCAATATTTTGTCGGGTTTCCTTTTGAATCAATTACAGCTTGAACCTTTTCAGGAATGCTGTTTACTAATTTTTGCAAATAATCAGGACAAAGATTAGCCCACTCATCCATTAGATAAGAAACCAATTCATTTGTATTTTTTGAAGGTGCAATAGTAGTATTTCGATCTTAAATGCTTTTATTTCACAAATTACCTGTGACTGAGAATGATTGAGTGCACCAGCAATGTCACAAGTGCTTTTACTTGCTTTCCAACGTCCAATTATTCTTCCTCGTTAAAAGCCTGTTAATTGAGACATGATGTTTTAATTAAAATAACTATTATTATTATGATTTATTATTATTATTTTTTTCGCGTGTTTTAATAACTGTGATTCTTTGATAAGTCGGATCACCATGCTCGGACACTCATGTCCAACTTATCAAGTTTATCTGTATGCTTGCCACCAAAACTATTGGCAAATTCCATACAGGTTAAAACAAGCTAATTCAAATAAGAAATTGCAAACCAAGAAGCACAGAAAGTTACATGTGAATGAAAAGTAAACGAATTACTTTTTTAAATTGGATGTTTTGTTTTTACATGTTCGAAGAAACCATCAAATTATTATTAGCTTACCAAAAATAGTAATAGTATCTATTTAGAACCCATCATCAAAAATTTATGTATACTCTACACTCTGAAATAAATTACAATATACACTTGGCTACAACAAACATTTTATCTTAATGGTTGACAATATGAAAGAGTCCTTAATAAAGAAGCGACGCAGAGTCTTGTAAATGTCCAAAAATACCAGCCATCATGGTCGAGTTGAAAGAATTAAGACAGTATATATATATATGATTGACAAGAAGCTTTGAAAATAGGAACAAAGAATTCTAAAGATGGAAGAAAGAAGAATATTTGCTGGATTCAGTCAGCTGTTAATGAAGCTCTAGTGAATGGGATCTAAACAAAGTTGAAACAGCACGGAGATATCGTAAAAGCAAAGTTAATAGATGATGAAATTTTTCGTTACATGAAAAAATAATTAAATATATATTTATAATGGCTATTTTTTTTTGTCTCCATCAACCAACCAATAAATATTGGTAACCAAAATGCCGTAAAGAATTGTTTGTCGAGTCATATGGTGGTGCATCATAACACTCTGAGATTGTATATTGTATATGTTGCAAATAATGTGAAACAATTTGACTTCACTTTTATCAAGTTGGTTAACATTAACTGTTTGCGATGTCTTATAGTTATATATCAATAAGCACAAATCACGTATACATAACAAAATTAAGTTATATACAATTTCATTAGTTAAAACTTTGGTTTAATAATATTAATTATTATTTGTTTGATTATTGCCTTTTATTATTATTGTCTTAACATTACATTTATAAAGGTAGTCTAACTTCAAGTTAAGATTTTCTTGGCAAAAAGATATATCAAAAGAAATGTATTGAATTTATGCAAAATGAGCAATCATTAATACAAGGGACTTTTTTCTTTTCCAATTTGTCCTATAAAGTTAATCAGAAAAAAAGGGAGAAAAAAAGGAAAAAGAGGCTGAATAAAAAAAAAACGAAAACAAAAAAGAACACGACGCCATTTAATGTTGATTTAAACGGGATGATTGATTCAGTCATGGTCAGGGATGCTAAATTGTTCGTCAGTTCAACTTAGGTTCAGCTCAATCCAGTTTTAAAGTTCAAGCAATCAAATTCGAAATATAAGTTACGTAATATAATTATATAAATATCCTTAATCATGTTATTGTTCTACATACCTCATCACAATCAGATACGTTTGAATATAAAGCATCAGTTAGCCTCGCTATTACCAAACTAAAATAAATAGCTTTGCTATACGATTTTTTACAAGTAGAGAGTCGTGCTCTACTTCTGGTCAATTTATAAACACGTGATAAATAATATATTTTCAAAGGTATGACTCCTTTATCCTTAAAATAAATAAATGCTTACAATTTTGGTTTACGTGACTCTGATCTTCTTTTGGCCTTCTTGGCAGATGTCTTGCTCTAAAGGATTTGTACTACTGTTAGCGTTAATATCTTTTGTAGTTTTGTTAACCTTAGTTCTTTCAGGGAGTTCTCTGGAAGTGGAACCTAGATTCAGATCTCATGTGTCGAGATCTTAAACTTGACATCGTTTTTGATGATTATTGTTTTTAGAATGATTTGGAGTTTTATTATGGTTTTTTAATGTCTCTTATTTATTAATTAATATTAAAAATGATTTAAAATGATTGATTCATTTGAAGCATTTACAAAATTGGTAACTTCCATTATATAGTGCACGCCACAATAACCCATCAAATAAAAATTGACCAACTTTAAAACCCAAAAAGAAAATATTGTGTGCTTATCAAAAAATTATTGAGACGATATTTGATAGCTTTTGACTAGTTCTACATTCTATCGTCGAGACAATTAAAAAATAATTATTGGTTCAGGAGTTACGTATAAGCTTTTGATTTTTATATGTTATATATAAAATTTTCCAAATTTGAAACATGTAATTTTGACCCACCTCAAGTCACACATAAAAATAGATTTTTTAATTCTGGTAAATCACGCGATATAATTCATCCATAAAATCAAAAAAAAATTTTCGCGCGTTTTCTTTGATAATAATAATTGCATTGAATTTATGAATATAAAATAATCCCATTCAAATTTTTTGTTTGAAGTTTCCCTTGAAGGACTTTTGGCTTGTTGTGCTAGACATATCTTAGCAACCCAAGATGATTTTAAAAACCAAAACCTTACTTCAAGAATTAATTGAAGAAAGAGGACATAAAGCCATCTTCCATCCAAAGTTTCACTGTGAACTTAACTACATTGAAATGTATTTGGGGGCTGCTAAATGATATGTTAGACAACATTTTAATTATACATGGAAAAGTCCTCAAGAGAATGTCCCCAATGCTTTTGATTCTATATCACTGAAACAAAATTAGAAAGTATGTGGTGAGAGCCTCAAGATTTAAGGATTGTTACAGAAAAGGATTAACAGTACTACAGGCCGAATATATTGTAAAAAAATATAAGTCATACACAAAAGGATTCCAGAGAATTAAACTAATAATATTTTTATTTTTGATCGACATCTTTAATCGTGCCATGTTACCTCAAATTTTTTAACATCAAATTTGTAATGAAAGTAATAAAATTTTTTTTGTGAATTTGAAACATTTTGCGTAGCATTTGATGGGTGCACCGTACAAAAAAAAAATTTTTTCCATTAACATATTTACAATGCAACGGAACACCCAGTAACTTTTTGAATCAATTTTCCATAAATCCAACAAAAAGTCAATTTCGTTCTAACGGGAAAAGTTGAAATAGCCCAAAATATTAAATATTGATGGAAAGGCCAGCCAATACAAAACGTGTCAGAATTCAACTGATTTCTAACGATTTTGGCCAAATCATTAGAATCACCAGGCCCATAAAATTTATTAAAAGGCAGATTAGCACTTCGCAACATGTTCGTGTCTATTGTTCCAGGTATTATCACAGACACTTTTACATTATCAAAAGATGCTATGTAACGAAGATCTTGTGAAAATGTTGTTAATGCTGATTTTGTTGCATTGTAATAACAGAAACTTGGTGAATTGAAAAAGCAAGCTATAGCCGATGTTACTGTAATAGAGTTTTTTATTTTATTTTTTATGATTAGTAAATTTTTTTATTTTTTTTAATTTCTAGTATTTTATTCATAGTGTATTTGTTTATTTTTTTTACCTGCAATTTAGCCAAATCTTCTTCCTTTCATTCTTTTATAAACTGTCATTATAGTAGCAACATTGCCGGTGTAATTGTCATCGATCATTCGTTTCCATCCATCTTCCCATGAAACAGTATCAAAATTATCTCTAGTAGCACCAAATTGAGCTATATTGTTTTTTAAATATTATAAATAAATATAAAGAGACGTGGCGCAAATCACGTAATTCCGTATACATAGTAAATAGTAATAGTTATAATATACCTGCATTTGAAATCAGCAATTCAATTGGATGAGAATCATCAAAGTTTTCTAAAATTTTTGTCAATTTTTCAATGTTTGAAATATCCACTTTCAATAAAACACAATTTGCTCCTTTTTCTTTACAATGCTCTGCTACTTCATTTAATCGTACTATATATAGAACATTATTATTATTATTATTATTATTATTATTATTATTATTATTATTATTATTATTATTATTACTATTATTGTTATTATTATTATTATTACTGCTAATATAATGTACCTTCATTTCTACCCAATAAACCTAAAGTCACTCCAGGTGCCGCATATTCAACTGCAAAAGCAGCGCCAATACCAGTGCTATAAATATTAAATATATTAAAAAACATTGGATATATATTTCTAAAGGAAAAAAAGTATATAATGAACAAACCTTGCACCAGTAATAAGAACTACTTTTGGGATTGGAATTTCTTGTCTTGATTTATTATCAAGTAAATTAATCAAATATTTGCCAACATCCAAGATAAAAAAGGCGATGTTCAAAGGAAAGACTATAAGTACATAGGCTGATAGAGCAACAACCGTTTGGATCAACGGTTGGAAAATTGGCGGAATTATTAAATTCATTATAGTAATAGTAATGTAAATGGGTGGGATAAGGGTAGTAATAGTAGTAGAAGAAAAAAAGAGATATACGAGAAAATTTTTACTAATTAATATATATATATATATAGCAAGAGTTAAATTCTGAGAATCATGCGACAATGTAGGGAAAGCCTATGATTCGAAAGTACTTTAAACAAGGTTTAGAAAGGAAGGGGCTAGTCGATGTGAGCCACATCAAAAAAGTAATGGTTTTGTTTGCTAAGACCCTTCCTCGTTCATTAATTAATCGAAAAAGTAATTGTTTATTGTTTGCCAAGATTAGGGGTGGGCAATCAAACCCTTATTAAGTATTTGCCAAATAATATGATTTTTACCTGCAAAAATTAAAACTTTCTCACGATATATATATTTTACTTATTATTATCATAGATGTGAAGACCATTTACGCCTTTGTCCAAACACCACACAGTTCAAATTAAAAGAAATTATTTTGAAGAACATTTTGATAAGATAAATTACAATGTAATGAGAAATTGATGAGAATGTCATCGAAGAAACTGATGAAACACATGAAGAATCAAACAAAAGCAATGCAGTTTTTTATGATATTTATTTCATTTAATATAATTAATGATTCAATTAAATATATAAATCAAACCTTTAGTATAAAAAAGTGCAAGTTGAATAAATTAAATAAAGATTTAAATTGCCGCAATGTTCGTGTTTATTGTAATAATTGCCAAATAATTAATTTCTTTTCTTATTATTATTACTAGAAATTGTTATTACAGGCGACTTCGTTGCCACCGCCATATACTGTAATATATATTATTTTTATTTCTCGTGAAATATAAATGATAAATGTACACACTCCTCAAACTCTAAATTGTTTTTATACAATAACGCAAAGGCTACAGAGCTCATCAAAAGCTTTAACTACATCGCTTACTTCTTTTCTAATATAACAATGAATAGCAATGATAGAAAATAAATCAGAGTAATCACGCATGGTCTTGTAATTCAATTCGTGATCGGCACATTTTTTAATAATAAAAAACGGGTTTAATACCTATTGATAAAAAGTCACATTTTCTGAATCCAAACATGTCCATATAAATCCTTATTATTTTTTCATATCTCAAATTTTATTTTTTTATATCAAACATACTTTATATCAAATCGACTTTATAGTTAGCTGCATTCATATATCAAAAAAATTTTTTTGTACATATTGTATAAATTTAAAATTTCTATTTAAATGTCTAAACGTAAATGTAAACGTTCAAATGTTTAAACGGTTTATTTAAACGAATTAAGTAATTTAATGATTGTAAAATTACAAATTATCTTTACACATCTAAACTCGATAAGTCGGACGCAGCAATCAATTGTTTAAAGTACTTTATAATATAAATAAATGTCCGACTTATCGAGTTTAGATGTGTATTAACTTAAATCGATGTCCTTTTTATAAGAAATACATAAGATTGATAAATATAAATAATAATATAATCATCCAGATAAGTTTATTAAGGTTATTTATATTAGTTTATACACGTATGATTAATTATATTAGTTTATATTACGTTAAATTGTTACAGTAAAGAAGTTTCACCAACACTTACATCTTGAGGAATAATTGACTTTAATTTACGCTATGGACCTTTTGCTCGCCACTGATGGCATGAAATTTCTACTGAAAATGGCTCAGAATTTTACCCTATTCGTTTAGGCATGACAATTTTAACTGAACCAAATATTAGGAACTTTTTGCTTGATAAGAGCCAAAGGTTTACACCAGAGGATATGCATAAAGAACTTATTGAAGAATCTGCTCATAGTGCCCAATTTTCTCATGATGAAATTCCTAAGGTAGAAACTATACGTAATTGGGTTTCTAGATACTCGGCAGAAATGAAAAGAGATGTAGCTGATAAAATGTTAACAAATTACAATAAATGAATTTTCAAGTAATTTATAATATAATTATTTTAATATTAACAACTTGCTTTTGGTGTGATCTAATTTCCTGCCCACTACAAGAAAACAATTATATTATTATTGATACAATCTTTAATAAAATTATAAATAAAGAAAATTATTTTAACTCTCCTGTAAATTATTCCCCAAGACTTAATGATGACAGAAGAAATTACATGGCCAAGTTTAATATTAACAACTTGCATTTGCTATAATCTAATTTCCTACAATGAAACAATTGATTTGAACTGTTATTATTATTAATATAATTTTTGATAAAATTATAAATACAGTAATAGAAAACGAGAAAATTATTTTAACTCTCTTGTAAATTATTTCACAGGACTTAATGATGACAGAAGAAATTACGTGGTCAAGTTTTGAATAGTTTAATATCAATGTCTTTGTTGTCCGTGATCTAATTTCCCTCCCACTATAAGAAATCAACTTATTTGAACTGTTATTAATAATAATACCTTCCTTAATAAAATTATAAATAATAGAAAACAAATTTTTATTTAGAAACAATAAAAAAAATTATTTAACTCGCCTGCAAATGAAATTACATGGTCAAGTTTTGAGTAGTTCTTAAAATTACTATGAGAGTTATACAGAGAATTTAGGTTTTTTTACTTCAAAATCCAGCGATGCCCGAAAGTAAAGTTTTTTTTTTTTATTAAATGAAAAATAATTTTTTAAATAAAGACAATTTTATGGTATTAATGGATCTAAAAATCATGTTTGTTATCCTAGAAGAGAAATACTTCAATTCGTCGACTTTTACACATTTTTGCTCCGGACCCGAAATATAGATTTTATCTACTCTCATGTATCACGAATTAATTACTCCAATTTTTTTTTAAAAAAATAGTTACCACATCAAATCTTCTATAATAATAATATTTACAACAAATGTGATTTTTGCATACCTTAGCCAGCATAAAAAAAAAAAAAAAGAGCATTTGGATCGAGAATTAGGGCATTTATTTGATTTGATTTGATTTGTAATAATAATAATAAGAATAATAATAATATATAGAACTTCCATTTACTACATCACACTATTAACGAGTCCTTCAATTTCTCCTTTAATTAATGCGAACCTGAAAATACAACAACTTTCTTCTACTGCCTAGATTAAAAGTTGCAAATAAGATACTTTCATACTCTACTCTACCTACTTGAGAGATTTTTAGTCATTAATTGTTTGAGTTTGTAACCTGGTGATGCTTGACTTAATAGGGCAAACAGTGAAAGTTTATCCTCAAAAACAAAGACGGAGCAATTATTCTACCAATTAAAGAAAGTTTCTCACACCAATATGTTGTCCCTCCGGACACCATAGCTTTATAGATTGTATGTAGATTATAAATAATACCTCAATAATAATAACATACAACTCGGATCTAATGAATATTGGTAACATGCACACAAGTAGTTAGCTAGTGTGCTTCGAATTCTTGTTGGAGATTACAAAATAGACATTTAATAGAGGAAAATTCTGGGAAAAGAACTTTAAAACGCTGGGTGATTTAAAAAAAAGTTAGCATTGGCAGGAGGAGTTTTCAAGAAATGTTTTAATTAAAGCAAGATCATTTGCCAAAGGTATCCAAGAACCTGATTTAGGTGAAGGGGTTGTGTGTGTGTAGTTACTGCTATCAAGAAATGACATGGATTTATAGTAAACAAACTAAAGAAAACTTTATTCGATTGATACTAGCTACTCTTTGTATGTTGATCCACAAAACAGAATTGAGAAAGTTTTCTTTCTTCTATAAAAGGAGTGGTTCTAAAGAGAATTATTGATAACATGAAATTCAATTTTTCTTGGAAAAGAATTTGAGCACAACTTACTATGAAACAACAAAATTAGTCATTGTGCTCAATGTCGGTTCTATATAAATTGTCAACAACTTCGACAAAAGTCAAATCAAGTGGTAAATGAAAGAGAAGAATAGTTTGAGGATCATGCGGAGGAGAAGGAAAGGGTTAGGGTGACAGAAGATAAAAAATCAGAGAGAAATAAACATGAACTTGGGGAGGAAATTATTTACAGTAATACATTTGATAGGGGACTAAAGTAATTATTCATTAATGATGATAATAACTTCTCTGCATAAGATTTATCTTTCTGCCATCGTTTGGTTAATTTTAAGCTATTTTGCTGACAACTGTGATATCATTGTTTTATTATTGTTATCTAATCTTTTATTATTGTGATTATTCTTTTTCAAATATAATTTTTTTTTTGAAAATACTTCCTATATATATATTTGAGATATGTTTTATTTTTAAATTTTGCTATATATAATGTAATAAATAGTAAACAAATAAATAAATTATTTTGTTGATTTTTTCATTTCTACCATTATCAATTCCTTCATCTCGGCCATTGATTTTTCGGCCATTGATTTCATTTCTTCCTTCAGAGTTTCATACTTTTGACTTTCATTCTTTTGAGCTTCTTTCATTTCTTCCTTTAGAGTTTCATATCTTTGGCTTTCATTCTTTTGAGTTTCTTTCATTTCGACCATTGATTTGTACATTTCCCTGATTATTTCCTTTTGAGCTTCATCTGTTTGACTTTCATTTATTATTTTACGCAGATAACTAGACATTGGTTTTTTCATCCCCTCAATTATTTGATTTTCTTCATCCCTCACTAGCTTGTCATCTATTGTTTTGCTCAGGGCATATTGAGTTATTGTTGTTGAAGTAGCCAGAAAGTCACCAGGTGTTGGTTCCTCTTCAGTAAAGAAGGACACATTTCTTGTTAAAGAGAGAACCAGTATAAATATGCATGTCTTGACAAAGTAAAAATCGATTGGCCATTTTAACACAATAAATAATGTTTGCAGAATATTCGGGAGATAAAACCATCCAGGAGCAAATAATATATTAACAATCTTTGAATCAAGTACTTGTCCTGCTCTCTCCGAGTCACAGCACCTACCAAGATAAACTAGTATTAAACAAATGAATACTGTAGCTGATAATATCCCAAATGATGTAAGAAATATTATACTAATTGGGTCAAAAAGATTTCTAGTTGTAATAATAACAGTCCAGAATGTTGGAATTACTATCGCTGGGAATAATATCAAGAACATCCAGATAAAATAAAAAGAACCAGGTTCATCTTCAAAAACTTTTTTAACCCTTTCATTCCTAATTATTGCTCCTACTGCGCAAATTAGATGCAAAGCCATGTTTGCAATCGAAAATATCTTTATACTCAGCAAATCATCGTAGGCCAAAGAAACTACCAGCGGAATCACCCAAGTGACTGTGTTGTATAATAAGTCGTCCAGTAATGGCAACAGCACATTTCTGGTGGGTCCAGTTTTCCCTGAAACATTGAATAGAATGACAAAAAATACTGGAAAGAATGTGTTAATAATTGCATCGTACACATCCTCTCCAGATTTATAATTTTCATCAACAATTGATGCATTTACAAGCGAAATGAATGAAAATAAAGTCAAGATCATTTTCTTGCTTTGTTTGAATAGAGATCCTTTGTTCATATCGAATAAGAGGATAAAGTTTCTCACATTTTATTGATATTTATAGACAATGTATTTTCAATCAATAAGTATTAATTAGTATATATTAATATTAATATAACTCCGAAATCATTTTCTTTTTTGGAATTATTTAATTATTTATGCAACCACTATGCAGTAAGCAAACTTTATTTTGAATCACTGGGATAAAAAGGCTATATAATAATCATTATTCACTTGTTTTTGTAAAATAATACTAAGGGAACAATATATACTGAGAAAATAAAATTTTTACTTGGAAATTGCGAAAATGATCAATATGATAATGGTGCTTTTTAATTATTTTTTAGATGGAAACAGTAACAAAAAAAAGTGTCTAAATTAATTAAAAATAGAATTTTGGTAACATGCGCACAATAATAATAATAAGTAGTTAGTGTTTCGAATTCTGGTCAGAGGTTACAAAATAGACATTTAGTAATAGTAATAATATTAATAAATTCAATAGAGGAAAATTCTGGGAAAAGAATTTTGCACAACTTACTATGAAACAACAAAATTAGTCATTGTGCTCAATGTCGGTTCTATAACAACAACTTCGACAAAAGACAAATCAAGTGGCAAGTGAAAGAGAACTTTGGGAGAAATTATTCATTTGATAGGGAACTGAAGGAACTAGTCATAATAATAACTTCTGCATAAGATTTACCTTTCTGCCGTGATTTAGTCAACTTTATACTATTTTGCCAACAACTGTGATATCATTGTTTTATTATTGTTATCTAATCTTTTATTTTTTGAAAATGCTTTCTTTATATCGTAGAAATTTTATGAAAATCATTTATATAATGTAATAGTAAACAAATAAATATACTATATATTAAAGAAAATTACAATTTTTTCATTTTGTTGATCCTTTCATTTCGACCATTATCAATTCTTTCATCTCAGCCATCGATTTGTTCATTTCGGCCATTAATTTGTTGTTCATTTCAGCCATTGATTTGTTCATTTCTTCCTTTAGAGTTTCGTACTTTTGACTTTCTTTCATTTCGGCCATTGATTTGTTCATTTCTCTGATTATTTCCTTTTGAGTTTCATCCTTTTGACTTTTATCTATTATTTTACGCAGGTAACTAGACATTGGTTTTTTCATCCCCTCGATTATTCGCTTTTCTTCATCCTCCTCTAGCCCTCCATCTATATAGAGACGCAGCCAACATTGAGTGTATGTTGTTGAAGTAGCCAGAAAGTCATCAGGTGCTGGTTTCTCCTCTGTAAAGAAGGACACATTTCTTGTTAAAGAGAGAACCAATATAAATATGCATGCCTTGACAAAGTAAAAATCGATTGGC